AACTTTACGGAGAGGGAAGAGGCACAGAAGCCAGTCTGGAGGCATTCTGAGAGCATTGGTAAGAAATGAAGAGGGCCTGAACAGAGGGAAGTGGACATATGATAAGAAGTAAAATCTGAAGAATTTAGTGACCAGCTGGAGATGGGAGGCAGGAGAGTTCTCCCAGTTTCCCGGCTTGGGTAGTGCATGCCATGGGCATTTGCTTGTTTGCTACCTGGGTTTCCCCACCGAAAAGCGCGTTTGTGGCTCAGGTACCTGCGCCGGACTTCTCCCCTGCTGGATATCCCGTGTGCTTCGGGAAGCGGACCCCATCCCAGTTTTGGTGGTGGGCCTTCAACAAGTGCAGGAAAGGATGCTCGCCATCACCATTCAGCAGGGAAATGCAAGTCAAAGCCGCAAGGAGATGTCACCTCCTGCCTGTTGGATGGTTGTCATCAAACAGACAAGAGATAACAAATGCTGGCAGGGAAATGGAGAAAAGGGAACCCTTGTGCACTGTTGGGACATAAACTGGCAGAGCAACCATGGAAAACAGTATGGAGCATCCTCAGAAAATTAAAAATAGAACTACCAGATGATTCAGTAATCCCACTTCTGGGAATCTGTCCAAAGGATATATTTATTCTGTAACTAGCTAGAAAAGACATCCGCGCCCTCATGTTTATAACAGCATTTTTTACAATAGCCAGTCCATGGAAACAACCTGTGTCCATCGAGGGATGAATGGATAAAAAAAGTTGTGTGTTTAGGCAATGGAGTATTACTCGGCCATTAAAAAAGGAAATTTGCAACATCTGTTGGCATTTACAACAACATGGGTGGACCTTGATGTTATTATATTAAGTGAAATAGGTTAAACAGCAAAAAATAATGCCACAAGATCTCACTTTTGTGAGGAATCTAAAAAACAGAGCCCAAGAAAGCAAACTTAGGGACTTCCCTGGTGGTACAGGGATTAAAGGCTCAGAGCTACCAAGCTATTGTCGGCCACTGGGGCAAGAGCTTCATCCCTGCAGGGAGCTGGCCCACAGGGCACAGCAGACCTCTCCTGACCCGCCCTCTGCTCCCCTCAGTCGTATATTTCAGTGGATCCACCTGCTCTGCTCCCCACTCTGCCTCTGGTGAACCCTCTTACGGCACCCCCACCTCTATACTACATTCCATATCTTCTATGCATTCATAAATAAATCTCTAAAAAAATATATTGGCCCTGTCTGTGCCCACAGTCCTGGGGTATCTGTAGATACGCGAACATCTCCAATAAATGTCAGTTCTCTCATATTCTCCCCAAACTAATGTACATACTTGCCACTCCACTCACTGTGGACTGAGGGAAACCTCTGGCTGTCGGATCATGGATAAATTATAAAACGTAAGAAATAGGTAAAAGTACAGGAATAGGGAGCTGCGATCACAGCAAAGTTGATTAAAGAACCTTCATCATAATGATATGAAAGTTGCTCCTTGGCCAAGTGGTGAGGGGAGCACACGTACACAAACCTCTCCAGATATAGAAGATGGGTATACGATTTCTGTTAGTGCTGCTGAAGACTGGGGGAAGAATCTAAAATCGGCACTACCCACACAGAAGGTCGCATCATGCCCATCAATTTATTTTGATCTCACGGAAGGCGTTTTGGAGCAATGCTCAAGAAATAGCTCAACCAAAAGAACATTTAAATTATGTAAAGATGAACTCTGGTGATTTAAATCCATTCACCTTACATAATAAGCTTTCAAACAATGTACTGTCACTTCACAATACCAAAAAAAAAAAAAAAACTTTAATAATTTCAGCTCAGGAGAAATCAATCCTATCTCAAATTTTGCAGGAAAAAGTTTGAATTGAAGACTAAGGAGTTAGTACCGTCCAGTGCACTCAGAAACTCAAACTGATGGCAGAAAGCAAGCACAGCCCAGCGTGGCTCTATGGTGTTAATTGTGGATGGATGATACAGCCGGCCGGTGTCACAAACGCTGAGTGCACTGCTCTGTGCCAGGCTTTGTTTGAGGTGCTGTGATGCAGAGGTGACCCTAAGGAGAGTGTTTCTGGAGCCCTGAGGAGGAGCCCAGCCCTGAGCTAAGTGCCCGTGTACACTGACTCACTTGTTTCAATCTTGCTATAAATTCTTAGCTACTGGCATATTATCCCTGTTTTGCAGCTGCAGAAACTAACCTCCCAGAGGTCACTTTCCCAAGGTCGCAGAGCCAACAGAGGGGGTTGGACTCTCTTGGCCTGTAAGATTTCCCAGCAACACAACCTTTGAGTATAAATGGCTACTGGAACTGTGTCATAGGTAAGACACAGTTAAATCTTGTTCACGGTTTTTGCTTTTGCAGATTCATGTAGTTGGTGTAAAGGTCAAATTCACTTCAGTTCTACCAAATCTTTAACATTTTTAAACAGACCTTAGTCGATGAATTTTCATTGTGACATTGCTAATGTCATAGGTTCGTGGAAATGATGTGATATAGTCTGCGCCTTGCAGACTGTCTTTTACACTTTGATTCAGTGTTTTTAATATTGCTATCCTTTGCAAATCTTGTGAGATCCACACATCCTTGTATTGTATTTGCTTAAAATTAACTCATTGCTTTTCCTTAATATTTCCAAGGAAAGGAATAATAATACCACTACTCAAATAGAGAGCGCTAATGTCCTTCACCATTAGGTGTGGAGTGCCTCACCTGCTGTAGGCAGTACAGCTACAGGTGAGAAGCAGATCTAAAGAACCCCTACCCTCCCAGCGCTAATATTCTAGGAGGGGTGACAGATGGTAAACAAGAGAAACATGCAAAATAAATAATTAGAGAGTAAAGGAAGAAAAGGGAGGGAGACAAGTGCTATCAAGGTATCGACAGGCACTGAAGCACAAGTTCGATCCCCGGCCAGGGAGGTGAAACATGGCACAGCAGCCCTCTCCTGTCTCCCCTCTGCTCCCCTCAGCAGTGTATTTCAGTAGATCCACCTATCCTGCTCTCCTCTCTGTCTCTAATGAATCCTCTCACCCCCATCACACACACACACACACACACCTCTGCCTATACCCAGTTCTTGTACATATAAATAAATAAAAATAAACCTTAAAAAATTTTCCAAACAAGAGACGATGGTGGCATGGACCAGAATGATGAGAAATGACCAGATTCTGGAAATAGGAAGTTAGAGCCAACATTTGCTAATGTAGGTGGTGTATATACAGTGTAAGAGGTAGGGAATGAAAGAAAACCCTAAGTCTTTTTTTTTTTAAGATTTATTTTTATGCATACAAGAACTGGGGTACAGGCCAGGGTTACAGCAAGTGAGAGGATTCACCAGAGACAGAGTGGGGAAAAGAAAAGCAGATTGACTGAAATACACTGCTGAGGGGAGCAACGGGTGAGACAAGAGAAGTCTGCTGTGCCATGTGGGTCACCTCCCTGGCCGGGGATCATACTGGCTGTGGACAGCTCCATAATGCTGTGCTTTAACCCGCTACACCACCAGAGAGAACTCAAACCCTAAGACTTTTGACCCGAGCAAGCAACCAAAAAGGATGGAGTCCAGTATGATTTTTCTTCCTTTTATCCACCACTCCTTGTTCCTCCCCCATCCCCCAGTTTTGGATTTCTGTCTCTTACATCACATTCTCCCTTCTCAATGGAAAAAAGTTAGAAAGTACTGGTGTTCAAAAGAACATATTTAAACTTTGCTTATTGTGTTTATCTGAAGCAAAAAAAAAAAGAATGAAAAAGAAAAGAAAAACATCTGTGTGCTTCACAGTTCTGATTCTGTAATCTCGAATGACATTAGAAAAATTGTTTTCAGCTGTCAGTTTCAGAATAGTTAAGTTCTATATATTATAAATAGATATATACTATGAATATTATAAATATGCAGAAATTCTGCTAATGTAATTCTGGTACATTATAGAATAGTGGCTGGTTACTGAGGAAAACAGTCTTTCTCAGAGGGAAGAAGCATGTTGGCTCATAAAATTTAGGTTATAAAGAGATCTATATTTGAGAGTTTAAATGATATCTGCAGGTTCTGGGCTAGAGTATGGTCTCTAATTGCATAGCACTTGGCCCTGGGGTGACTGAAAGCAAATACTGACTTGCTGGGTGAGAATTCTATAAAGGAGCTGGCTGGAGGTTTGGGATTTGGATTGGTTGATCTGTGTATGAAAGATGTTATTGGCTACCCTCAGAATTAGTTCCTCCCTGATCCCCTTCAAAATGCCAAAGCATCATAAAATATAAAAATTAAAAATATGGCTAATTCACATGTCCTGTGAACTCTTGTCCACAGTCCAAGTAGCCCCAGAAAGTAGCCTTCTATATGAGACAAGTTATATAGTGTAACACTCTGCTACATCCATATTCCCAAATAGCACCCCAAAATCTGATGCCGTGTTACTATGATCCCTTCCTTGTCCTTTCTCCCCGCTAACACTAGTGACATGGACAGACAACCAATCTTAAAGGTGCTTGGCAAGCTGTGCTTGTGGTCGATCATCCACCTTTCCTGAGGATGTAAATAGGAGCCACAAAAGGAAACCACTAGTTGATGGCAAGGTAAACTGGAAGGCTCTGAAGTATATTCCAGACCCTGGCAAACAACGTGTACTCCAGTAACCCCCATCTCCTCCCAAATACTACACATGACCCATCACAGCCTATCTGGACCTGTGCTGTAGTACACAGGTGTTTGTCTGCTGGCTTGTTTTCTCTAGTGCTTTTCTCAAGTATTATGATTAACAGAGATTCACAGGAACAAAACTAAACCGTTCGGATGTGGTCAAGTCTGGAATGCAGGGCACAGTGATCCTTCTTTAGGTACCCCAACATGTTGCAAAACGCTTTCAATGTCATAGAAACACAATCTAGTACAAATACAACTTGCAGCTTCAAGAGCCATTTCAGGTTCTTTAAAAAGAAAAAAAAAAAAAAACACTAACATTTCAGTTTCTTTTTAAGGACTAGAGTGGGCAGGAAGAAAAAAGAGCGGGCCAACTCACCTGCTGCTGCCCCGCCCCGCCTTCGCGCTGGTCCGAAGCCGCAGGCTGTCGATTGCTTCCGCCTGGACCGACCCGTCCGGATCGACTGCTCCTGTCTGGCCTGTCGTCGGGCGCGGGAAAAGTTTCAATCCCGGCTGGCGGCCGCTGCGCCCGCTTCACCCGTCCCAGTTCAAATCGGCCGCGGACCCCGCTTCCTCTGGCATCCCCAACGCCCGGGGGTCCCCCAGAGTGGCCGAGCGCAAGTCGCCGCCATGTCCGAGGCCTACTTCCGGGTGGAGTCGGGCGCTCTGGGGTTTGAGGAGAACTTTCTGTCGCTGGACGACATCCTCATGTCCCACGAGAAGCTCCCGGTGCGCACGGAGACCCCCATGCCCCGCCTCGGCGCCTTCTTCCTGGAGCGGGGCGGAGGTGCCGACACCGACGACGCCCTCCCCGAGGTGAGCCTTTGGGCGCCTTTCCTGCCGGGGGCCGCTCAGGAGGGGGGGTGCCGCGGACGTTTGGGGCGCTCTCCACTGAGATCTGTAGTTTGGGCGGGACGCGGCCGTGTGCGCTGTGTCTGTCTGTCCGCAGGTCTCCGCCACCAAAGTGGCTTCCCGACCTAGCCCTGGAGGGAACCAGATGTAGCCCGGGGTCCGGGCTCCCTCCAGATAGCTTCTTTTTTGCAGGGTTCTTTTTTTTAGGGTTCGGCAGTGTTCGCCCCGCCCCCTCCGCTCCCCCAGATACTGATGCTTCAGGGTTGGCTTCTACTGAATACTTCAGGGTCAGGGTCCTCACCCTGTTTGCCGAAAAGCGAAAGAACGGCTTATTCTGGACAGTGTGTCGTGAAGGCTGAGGGCCGCTGGGGGCCAGGTCTCTCCCGCATGTGGGTTTCCTGAGGACTCCGGAGCCGGCGTGGATGGGACGGGAGGGAGTCAGCTTCCCATCAGTTACCCCTGTAAGCTTCCAGTAACCGTGTGCCCAGGTATGCTCACCTTCCAGGAAACTGAAGACTAGGAAGGTTGGGTGACTGGGCCGGGCCCGGCTGTAATGGGCAAGCTGCGGTTCCACCCTAGGGCTGTAGAAGACAATATAGTTAGTCCTGGGAACTTGGCTTGTAATGGTTTTTTTTTTTAAATATTTATTTATTTATGCATACAGAACTGGGGTACAGCCCAGAGGTGTAGGGGCGGTGAGAGGATTCACCAGAGACAGAGTGGGGAGCAGAACAGGCTGACTGACTGGTATACTGCTGAGGGGAGCAGCAGGGAGACTGGAGAGGTCTGCGGTGCCTTGTGGGTCACCTCCCTACTGGGGATTGAACTCGTGCTGAAGTGGCTTTAGCTTCTTAGTGCTCCCTAATGCACCACCAGGGAGGGCCCTTTGCTTTTTTAAACTGAGTTTTGTTCAGAAGAGTGATGTTTGATCTTTTTGGTTTGGGTCAGTTTTTATCAAAATCTTACGTATACAAAACTTTTAAAGTCAAACCATTTATCAAATTTTGTATCAAGAAATGTCAGGGGCCCTCCCCAGTGGGACAGCTGGTTAAAGTGCAGCACTGTAAAACTGTCCGCAGCCACTGCAGCACGAGTTCCATCCCGGACTAGGGAGGTGACCCACATGGCGCAGCAGACCTCTCCGGTCTCCCTGCTGCTCCCCTCAGCAGTGTATTTCAATCTGCCTGTTCTGCTCCCCACTCTGTCTCTGGTGAAATCTCTCACCCCCTGCACTTCTATCCTGTACCCCAGTTCTTGTGTGCATAAATAAATCTAAAGAAAGAAAGAAATAGCAGGCCTGCCTTGCTTTTCCTACATCCCTTTCCATCTGCACAGGGTCCGGTCCACTTTTTGTATAGTTCTTACATTTGTTTCTCTTCTTGATTGAAAAAGAATTGTTACATCTTGACTTCCCTTTATAGCAGGTGAGAGCTTCCGTCTTTTGCTCACTGAGAAATAGGTGTGCTGCCCATGCTTTATTCATATTCCTTCATGTCACCTAATGTCCTTTGCTGTTCAGGATCCCACCCAGGACGTCCCACTATATTCAGCAGGTGTGGCCCTTAGGCTCCTTGGTTCTGATAGTGTGTCAGACTTCAGGTTTTCAATGACCGTGACATTGAAAGGAATGCTCTTCAGAAGGAAGTCATTGTGCAAAGCCAGATTTTCTGAGTAGGGGTTAATGCTCTACTCTTTGAGGGCAGAGTAAATCTGAGTTTCTTATGCACAGGACATTTGGTGTTCTTTGTTTTTTTCATTCAGCTGTATTTTTTATATTTTTTACATCATTTTTTAATTTTGTAAAATGAAAATAGTCCTCATGAAATTCCCACCAGCAATTCACTCATGCACCATCACCATTGTGCTCTTCCCTCCCGTTTTAATCCTACTCCCCACCCCCACTGCAGAATGTCTCTGGTTTATAGTTGCCTGTTGGTTTTTATATTTACTTTATTATAATTACTTTTTCCCCCTATCCCTTATTTGGATCCTCTACATAAGGCATTTAATTTCATTCATACGTAAAGGACTACTCGGATTTCCTGTTCTTGTGTTATTCTTGGTATACGATTTCTTTTCTCCTAGGTATTGGCCATTTCTTCTAAACTTTAAAATGAAGCAGTATAATGTTCAAAATATTCTTTCACTCTTTTTTAATGTCTATAGGGCAATAGTGGTGTCCTGATTTTGATTCTTGATATTGAGAGGTTATGCTCTCTGTCCTAATGAGCCTGGACAAGAGTTTATCAATTTTGTCTTTTAAAAGAAATAACTTATGCCTCTGTCGCTTTTCTCTTTTGTATCTTTATTTTCTAGATCATTAAGTTCTTAAATGATTCTTCCCTTGGACATGTGTTGTTGTTTTTTCCCCCTTAGGTTTTGAAAGGGATACCTATGTTACAGATTTTTCAAGCTTCCTTTCTGCCTTTTTAACTGCAGATTTCCTCTAAGCACAGCTTTAATTGCATTTTACAAGTTTTGATTAGTTATAATTTCATTATCACTAAGTTCAAAATGAACTCAAAATTAGTTTTCTAATTTTCCCTGTCACCAGAAAACATAGTTGGAATGGTTTCAGTCTTTTGGAAGTTGTTAAGACCTGCTTTAGACTGTAACATAAAATCAATGTAACCATTCTATCCATACTACAGGTCATAGTGTGCTGTGAATTAGGCTGTTTGTTACTTCCTTTGTTGAACTCTTCTATATTGTTATCTTTTGTTTCCTACTTTTCTTTTACCAAAAAGATATGTTAAAGTCTCCTGCTGTGATTTGTCTGTTGCTCTTTTTTACTTCTGCCAGCTTGATATTCATATTTTTCTGGTGAATATGCTTCTTTTATCATTGTTCTGTCCCTTTTTATCTCTAGTAATGCTCCTTGATTAGTTTATATTTTTTCCCGTCCTTCTATTTTCAACCTTACTGTGTCTTTATACTTAAGATGTATCTTTTCTAAGTATCATATAGTTGGTTTTTTTTTATTTGGCTATTTTTAATTGGTATATTTAATTCAGTTACATTTAATTATTGTTGAATTGTACCTCCCTACTATTTTTTGTGTATCCTATCTCGCTTTTTCTATTTTTTAAAAATGTCTGCCTCATTTATTTGTTATAGAAAAATAACACTTTCATTGGATTCAGACTTAAAGGTAGAAGCTCCCAGAAAAAACAGTCTCTGTGTCTTCGTCTTTGACCACCTTCATCTTTTTGGCCAAAAGGTTAGCATGTGGCCTCTGGTTGTTTCTTCGGGGCAGTCCGTCAACAGCTGCACTGTGGGGCCTGGAGAACAAGCTGAATGTTGGGCGCTTGGTCCTGGGCGCCTCCTCTGTTTAAGAGCCTGCTCACATGTGTTGATGGACGTTGTCTTCTTTAAAGAGTGAGAAGTTTGTAAATTCTGCTAGCTTTTTCAGGCCGTAGGTGATGGGTGAGTCCAGGAATATCCTTCCCCCCATTCTGTCACAGTGACGAGGGCGAGAACATTCAGACTGACATCCACGATGCAGACTGGCACTTTCCTTCACCAGCTGCCGTAGTCTGCAGCAGGAAAGCCCCTTGCTCAAAAGCTGGTGGACAGGCCATGGGTCAATCCCAACACCCGAGAGCCGGCGCTACTGCTCACAGATGTGTCACATACACTTACTGTGTTTGTAAACTTTATTCCTGTCCGGTGCAGGGCTCAAAGCTTGAACTCCCCTTGTGGCTGGCGAAAGGACTTTTTGACAATAAGCGGCGGATCCTGTCTGTAGAACTTCCCAAGATCTACCAAGAGGGTTGGAGGACCGTGTTCAGTGCGGATGCCAATGTGGTGGACCTCCACAAAATGGGACCGCATTTCTATGGCTTTGGCTCCCAGCTCCTGCATTTTGACAGTCCGGAGAATGCAGACATTTCCCAGTCTCTCCTGCAGGCAAGTGAGGCATGAAAACCTGTGGTGCTGCGGTGCAAGGAGCCAGCTGGGCATTGCTCCTGCGGGGGCAAGTACAGGAGTCACACAGTAGTCTGTTATCACTCCAGGTCCGACTACACCTAGACGGTGCTTACCAGTCATATATATACTTTAATACATTTTAAAAATACTTGATGTTTGCATAAGTGTCTTTATTGACTAATTTTAATATACGGTCTATTTAAATTACATTACACGCGTGTTTATGTGTGGATGACTTATCTGCTGCTCTTCATATTTGCTTGCTAAGAGGTTGGCAGGAAATAAGAGAGGGGCTTAGTGGGCTAGGGCAACATTTGCAGCCCTCTCACAGGAAGGGCCTGAAGCTTACTGCAGACATACAGGCGTTATTTAGTTGTCTGTTCCCTTCTCTTGCTCTGGGGGTAAGACCTGGCGTGGCCATGTACTAGCTGAGTGACTTAGCTTAGCTACCTGCCTTCTCTAGGCATCAGTTCACTAAGTGAAGACACAGTACCAAAATAATACTGTAGTAAGATTATGTAGAATTATTTAATAGTGAAACTTTCCCCCCACACACAGACAAAACAGTGTTACACATATGTTGCCATCCTTTGTATCTTTTCATAGTTACTTTCTTAATTGTTACTATGAAGAGGAACTATACTTTCTACCTATTGTTTTACTCCTGCATTTCCAGCTTTTTGAGAATGTGTTTGCCCTTCCTGCTGTGCTCCATAAGGCCTGAGGGTTGTTTGGCTTAATGCTGTTTCTAAAAAAGATATTAAGAAAACACTTTGTTGCTACTCGTACAGAAAAAGAAGTTCATGCATAGACTATAGATAGTTTGAGCTTCTGAAACTTGCCCTAAAAATAAGGAAGTTCCGTTGGTCTTATAATATCCCTGGGATATATTCTTGAATTGAAAAACTGCCCTTTTTTTGTAAATGATGTTTTCTTTTTCTACCACTGCTTTGAAGTGCTGCAGACTAGAGTTATTTCTGTATAGGGCGACACCACCATGAGACAGTTGGAGAAACTGAAGCAGGGATTGTGGCTTAGGCCCAGAACCCTGTGGAAAATGGTACCCTGAGTAGATCTTATGCGTCTCCACTCATCTCATACTACAAAAAAAAAAAGAAAAATGGCATTCATTTGAGTTCTTAGTTTTCTCTGGTGGAAACCCATCTGCATGTCACCATAGTGCATTATTGTAGTCTTTGTTACTGATAACAATAATGGGTCGTGCTTTCCAGGAGCCCACTCTTGCTAGCCATTTGCTAGATGCTCTGCTTTGGATTTTCACAGTAATCCACTTCACAGACTAGGAGCTTGAGGCTTGGTGAGATGAAGTAACTTACTCGGGTGGTAGAAGACAGCCCTCCTTCCAACTCCTGAGACTATATTCTTTCCTTTCATGCCATTTACATGTTCAGTGACAAAAATTAACAGATTTCTCTTAATCCCCTTCTTCAGACATTTATTGGACGTTTTCGGCGCATCATGGACTCTTCCCAGAATGCTTACAATGAAGACACTTCGGCACTGGTAGCCCGGCTAGATGAGATGGAGAGAGGCTTATTTCAAATAGGGCAGAAAGGACTGAATGACTTTCAGTGCTGGGAGAGGGGTCAGGCTTCTCAGATCACAGCTTCCAACCTCGTTCAGAATTATAAGAAGAGAAAATTCACAGACATGGAAAACTGAAGGCCAGAATGGATCTTCGAGATTTATCACTGTGTCTCTGATAGGACCTGGTTGACCTCATCAAGGGCCAGAATCATGTCCCATCTCATGCCTTACGTCCTGAAGTGGTATATGCTTGGGAAAGGATGTCCCAGAGGATGTTCCTAGCACTGTGATTCTTCCAGGACTATCTTGCCTTGCTGACCCATGGTCTAGGCCTACTTAACCCCAGAACCCAGAGTTGAGGAAGTCCCCTGTGATCCTCAGTCTATATATATATCACAGTAGCATTGGGATGGGAATCCATGTGCCCCAAATGTCCCAGCTTTACTGACTCCAAAGGACAGGTGGAACAGTTCTGTTCTCAAGTCTAATTGCTTAAGACTAAAGCTGTCAGGGAGTCATCTGGAATTACAAAGTAGTTTTTGAAGGATGTTAACCAGCCTTATTACATCAGGAAATTGGGACTTTACGATTGCTGGTGATGGAGAGTCCTGTTTGAGAAGCTCGCATGGCCAATGTAAGTGGGTGAGGAACACTGAATATATTGTCAGTAATTTTTGCTACAATATTACATAGAGGATCCCTAATCATTTACTGAAAATCTATTTGAGCAAACAGAACTCTTCCCCTGGAAATCAAGGAGGAAGCCTCCGGCTGAGAGGACATAGCTTTCCCTGGGACCTTTAGGACTGTTTGAAGGGCAGATTTCTCCACCCCACTGCACCCCTTCCCACGTTCTGCAACTAGTGAAAATTGTCTTTGTTGCTGGAAATTACAGAGATTTGTGTATTCAGATTGCGCAGATGTCTTAGTGCAAACTTTGAATGTCAGAGATGCTTTTAAAATGCCTGTTTTAAGATGAAATTGATGTTTTTATAATTGGCTTTTGGTGCTAAATAAATGGTCCATTTTGTACATAAATAACTGTAAATACTATTTCTGAACTCCAGTACTTCAGATCGTGCAAAGCTATCCGAATCTTGTCTCTGATCATATCTAACAATGAGACCAAATAGATCCACATGTCAGCCGTTGCTCTGTCGTTCACACAGTGCTAAATCCCAGCTGCCTTCCCCATGGGGACTGGCCATTCACCGGGAAGGTGGGGCTTCTCTTACAGCCACAGCACTGCCTGTAGCCACGGCTCCAGGAAATAATTCATTAAGTGAAAAAATCATTTTGTCTGGGATTTGTTATTTTCACAGATAGCTTTGCATTTAAAGTCAGTCCTAAGGCGGTTGCCATTTTCTTCCACTATTAAAATAAATTTGCTCAGGGGCCACGTGCCAGGAATATGTGAGTAAAGCAGAATTTATTCCTTGTTCTAAATTTTGAACAGTCTGTAGCCTCTGAAAACCTTTTCCAATTTTAAATTGGCCCCCAAGCCTGTTAGTGACAACCCCTTTCCCTGCAGCCCTCCCTCAATTACTTGCTCCCTTCAAAGAGGTGAGTTTTTCGAGTCAACAGACTGAATCAGCTATTGAATTTTTTTTTTTTCTCATCATCAAGGGGCTGTGAAGATGTGTGCTCTTTCTCTGGGCATGATTGTGTACAAAAGACCCCCCTCCTGTATCCAGGTGTCTGCCTGGGACAGTCTCTGCCAGAGAAGTGGGGCGAGCCTAGGTCGCCCGAGTCAGTTCCTCTGAACCTCAGATAGGTTGCAGGTCCAGTTGTTGGGTCTCTTCTAACCATTCTCCCTTTCTGGAACCCTCCAAAGGCCCAAGGTTTAAGTACGGTCTCTACCTTGATGACTCCCACATTCGTATCTCCTATTAAGACCACTCCCTGCAACTCCTGACTTGTAGTTCAACATCTCACTTAATATTGGCCATCAGCCAAAGCTGACTCCGGACCTCTGGCCCCACAGTCTACTCCTAGAACCTTTCTCAACTCTGGCAGCTCCATCCATCCCTATTTTTCAGGACAAAACCTGTCCTCTGTGTGTGGAACCCCTTTTACTGTCCACAGCTTTGGGGTTTACCTTTTGCAGACTGGTCCCCTCTTCCCCTCCTCCAGTCCTGTCTTGTCACCGTGGCAGCCACAGTGGTCTTGTGCAAAAACAAGTTAGATCTTACTTCTCTGCTCAGAACCCTCCCAGCTCAGAGAAAAAGACCAATCTACTGTCCCAGCACCATTCCCTATTCCAGTGAACTGGTAATGAATTGGTTTATTGCATGAGTAATTTGTGCCTTTTTTAAAATAAAAGTATCACCACTGCCTGTAAGGTTTCTAAGCATCTTACAGAGCCCCTCATTAATCTCTCAGCACTACTGGACCTAAGAAGTTTCCAGAATACTGTGTCTGAGGTAGTGAAACTGAAATGCAGAAGTACTGGTGTCTCAGTCTAATTCATACAGAAAAGAATCTGGCTCTGTTCTCTCCTGTCCCACCATCCTTCAAAAAATCCTGGGAGAGCTTTTCATCTTTATCCTTGAAACAATTGTAACTGAAACTATACTCTTAAAATGATCCTGGCACGGAGTATAATGGGCCAGGTGAGAAAATAACAAGAATAATGAACAACCATATACCAGAGACATTTTGTGGGGGTGGAGTGGGGAATGGGATCAAAAATGGGGGGGGAGGTGCACGGGATTATGGTGATGGCACACAGGTGACTTGGTGATGGGAAACCTGCAGGGATTACAATTGAGATGGAAAAAAAAATGTACAAAATGATGTAAAAATAAACTGTTATAAAAAAAAGATCCTGGCAAAAGAAAAGAAATGCAGAAGCTGTGTATGTGTGTTAATGTGTTTCTGAAAGTACCTATGTCTGTGTTTTAAAGAAAAATGTATACTTGAAGTTAACAAGATGTAGACTAGATGCTTAACTAAAACAATCGCTTTAAGAACCCTGATTTTGGCCCTCCCTCATGGTGCAGCAGGTCAAAGCACAGCATTAAGTAGCTAAAGCCACTTCAGCATGAGTTCGATTCTCTACCCCGGAGGTGACTCACATGGCGCTGCAGACATCTCCTGACCCACCCACCGCTCCCCTCAGCAATGTTCTTGTTGATCTGCCTGTTCTGCTCCCCACTCTGTCTCTGGTGAATCCTCTTACCGCCCCTGCATCTCTGGCCTGTACCCCAGTTCTGTATGCACAAATAAATCTTAAAAAAAACAAAAACCTAATTTCAGGTGTCGCAAAAGGTTAGGATGCATCACTGCAAGCTGGCCACAGTCGCTTCAGTGCGAGTTCATCCCTGTCCCAGAGGTGACACACATGGCGCGGCAGACCTCTACTGACCTGCCTGCTGCTCACCCCAGCAGTGCACTTTGTCAATCTGCCTGTTCTACTCCCTGCTCTGTCTCTGGTGAAGCCTCTCACCACCCCTTCACCTCTGGCTTATACCCCAGTTCTGTATGCATAAATAAATACATCTTTAAAAAAAAACTAATTTCAACTGTCCTTGGCATAGGTAACTGTAAAAATAATTTTTTGCTCTAAATATTTTGGGGGAGCCTCCCTGGTGGCACATGGGGTTAAAGCACAGCACTATGAAGCTATCCGCAGCCACTGCAACATGAGTTCGATCCTGGGCCAGGGAGCTGACCCTCACGGCCCAGCAGACCTCTCCTGACCTGCCCACTGCTCCCCTACTCCTCAGCAGTGTACTTTATGGATCTGCCTGTTCTGCTCCCCATTCTGCCTCTGGGGAATCCTGTCGCCCCTCTACCCACCACCCACCTGCACTGCTGGCCTATACCCTGGCTCTTGCGTGCATAAATAAATAAATTATTAAAAATAAATAAAACTGGCCCTCCCTGGTGGCGCAGCGGGTTAAAGCACAGCACTAAGAAGCTAAAGCCACTTCCGCATGAGTTCGATTCCCGCCTGCCCCAGAGGTGACCACATGGCATGGCAGACCTCTCCTGACCCGCCCACTGCTCCCCTCAGCAGTGTACTCGTCGATCTGCCTGTTCTGCTCCCCACTCTGTCTCTGGTGAATCCTCTCACCCTCCGCATCTCTGGCCTGTACCCCAGTTCTGTATGAATAAATAAATCTTTAAAAATAAATAAATAAATAAATAAATAAATAAAACTTACAGTGTATGAAGGGCAACTCAGAAAATCTTATCATCACCCTCTTACTGAGAGCAAATGATTAACTCAGGGGACAGGCTGGCCTGCTTTTGTTTGAGTTCATTTGTTGACTTTTCCAGGGTGCGTTTCTGCCTAGTCAGAGACCCCGGCAGCAGGACACCCCTCTAGGGCGCCGCCCTCCTGCCTGGGCCCGCTCTCCTTTGGCTGTGTTGTAGTGACACGGGTGGCAAGGACCCTAAACTGGGCGCGTCCCCTACCCAAATACCCTACAGTTACTGCAGACAGTTCTTTACCCAAGTGCACAATTGCAAGACTGCTCAGGCTTAGAAGTGGGAAAAACAAGTACTGAGGCCAATAATGGCCATTTACTTTACCCGAGGTCATGTCCAGTACTGTCCAGTCCTGCACACGTACTGTTAGAAGGGCGTCTTCCCGCCGCCAAGGACTGAACAACAGGCCGCAGGCCAGTGTCTAAGATGGCTTTTCAGACGGCCGAACTACAGGCCCAGCCCCGATTCACCAACACAACGGACACAGCAGCGGGGCCCCTTGGACTGCCAAAGAGCCCCGGCACAGCACCGGACAAGCGACACTAAGACCACCGCTGGAGAGGCCGCACGACCCCCTGAGGGCCACACTTACGCCTGGCTCCGTGTCCCAACGTGTCCAGGCCACTCTTCGGCAGGACGCCTGTCCTCCGGCCTCCTTTTCTCCGCCAGGCCTAACACAACTTTTCCAGAACGACCCCTCGCACAGGCTGGACTGGACGGCCTCTGCCATGTGGTGGCGCCCACAAAGCCCAGCTCTGAGAGGCCCCCCCGGAGCTGTGGAGGGCCCTCCGCGCCCTCCCGGCCTCTCCCCCAAGCATCCACTCGGCCTCCTTCGTGCATCTGCCCAGCGTCTCTCGCGCCTGCGCACGGGCAGCTTCTTCGCACGCGTGCCCAGAGCTCCCTCTTGCGCATGCGCGGGGCTCCGTTCTGTATTTTCTCTGTTGCTTCATCCCAGTTTTAGTACCTTTCTGGGGCGCTCTGTTGTCTACCAGTAAACCCCTCCAGGGGGCACCACCTGAAAGAGTTTGCTGGGTACTGCTACCGGTAACAGTACCCCAGAGGGAGGTGCAAGTAAGCCCCACCCCTAGGCAGAGATTTCCTTTCTCTGGCTACTTTGCAAAGGTCAAAGAAATAGGCATCATTTTTGAAAATTCTCTATTTGCAAATAATTTTCAATTCCTAGAGTAGTCATAAAGATACAGAGCGTTCCCATGCACCCCTCACGCAGCTCTCCCTAACTTCTTATTGAATCGTGGAGTGTTGATCAAACACTTAGCCCAGCTTTATTCCAGTTTCTCCACATTTGCTACTGGTGTTGCTTTCTGCTCTGTGTTCCAATCCAGAACCCTATGGTGAGTTTTCAGGGCAGTCACTTTTTTTTTTTTTAAGATTGATTTATTTATGCATACAGAACTGGGGTACAGGCCAGAGGTGTGGGGGGTGAGAGGAGTCTCCAGAGAGAGTGGGGAGCAGAACAGGCAAATTGACTGATTTACTGCTGAGGGGAGCAGCAGAGAGACAGGAGAGGTCTGCTGTGCCATGTGGTCAGCTCTGGGGCGGGGATCAAGCTCATGCTGCAGTGGCTAAGGGTAGCTTCATGGTGCTGTGCTTTAACTCATTGCACAGGGCAGTCACTTTTGAAAGCAATTAGGGAAGCAGACTCTTTCCTACATGAATTTTAGAAATTAAGTTCACTGAAAAAGGCGGGATGGGCAACTGGGCCCATCTAGGGCCTGGTTGGACACACAGGAGCAAGCTGCTGGCCAGCTAATCAGCAGGAGTGTTTGCTTTTCACTGA